ACAGAAATAATGAGAAGACCAGCACCAGCCCTTGATTTACCCAAAGGTGTAGAGAAGCAAAAACTAAGTGCACTAGAGAATGGAAAATGTACAGAAGACAAAGGACCCAGGAAAATAGATTAATCAAAGAGCCAGAAACGAGTGCACAGATGAGGGAGGCCCAGCGACAGTACAAAAACGACATAGCATCGAAAGTCAAGTCTGACCCAGAACTGTTGTATAGCCACATCAGGAGGAAGATTACAGTCAAGGACCAGGTAATTAGGCTGAGGAAGGAAGGTAGTGAGCTCACAAGAAACGACCAAGAAGTATATGAGGAGCTCAGCATGAGATTTAAGGAAGTATTTACAGTGGAGACAGAAAGGACTTTGGGAAGTCAGAATTGGGCGGATACACCAACAAGGAAAATACCAACAAGTGCTGGATGAGATACACACGACCAAGGAGGAGATGAAGAAGCTACTAGGTGAACCTGATACCTCAAAGATGGTGGGAATGGACATCTCTCTGCGATAACTTAGAGAGGGAGCAGAGATGCTTTGTGTGCCACTAACAACAATTTTCAACACATTCCTTGAAACTGGACCACTACCTGAGGTATGGAAGATGGCAAATGTAGTCTCCGTTCTTAATAAAGAAGACAGACACGAGGCACTAAACTACAAACCAGTGTCATTGACACGTATAGTATGCAAACTCATGGAGAAGATTATCAGGAGAGTGGTGGAGCACCTAGAATGGAACAAGCTTATAAACGACGAGCAACATCGATTCAGGGAAGGAAAATCCTGTGTCACAAACCTACTGGAATTTTATGACAAGGTAACAGAAGTAAGACATGAGAGAGAGGGGTGGATAGATTGCATTTTCTTGGACTGCAAGAAGGCCTTTGACACAGTTCCTCACAAGAGATTAGTGCATAAAGCTAGTCAAGGCACGCATAACAGGAAGAGCACTGCAGTGAATCAGAGAATACCTGACAGGGAGGCAACGACGAGCCATGGTATGTGACGAGGTGTCAGAGTGGGCACTTGTGACGAATGGGGCTCCACAGGTCCTAGGACCAGTGCTATTTCTGATATATGTGAATGACATGACGGAAAGGATAGACTCAGAAGTGTCCCTATTTGCAGATGAAGTGAGGTTAATGAGGAGAATTAAATCGGATGAGGATCAGGCAGGACTACAAAGAGAACTGGACAGGCTGCAAGCTTGGTCCAGCAACTGGCTCCTCGATTTTATCCCCGCGAAATGCAAAGTCATGAAGATCGAGGAAGGGCAAAGAAGACCGTAGACAGAGAATAGGCTAGGTGGCCAAAGACTGCAAACCTCACTCAAGGAAAAGGATCTTGGGGTGAGTATAATACCGAGCACATCTTCTGAGGCGCACATCAACCAGATAACTGCTGCAGCATTTGGGAGCCCGGCAAATCTGAGAATAGCGTTCCGATACCTCAGTAAGGAAACGCTCAAGACTTTGTACACCGTGTACGTCAGGCGCATACTGGAGTATGCAGCACCAATATGGAACCCACACCTGGTCAAGCACGTCAAGAAATTAGAAAAAGTGCAAAGATTTGCAACAAGACTAGTCCCAGGGCTAAGGAGAATATCCTACGAAGAAAGGTTAAGGGAAATCGGCCTCACGACACTGGAGGACAGGAGAGTTAGAGGAGGCATGATAACGACATACAAAATACTGCGAGGAATTGACAGAGACAGAATGTTCCAGAGATGGGACACAGAAACAAGGGATCACAATTGGAAGCTGAAGACTCAGCTGAGTCAAAGGGATGTTAGGCAGTATTTCTTTAGCCATAGAGTTGTCAGGAAGTGGAATAATCTGGCAAGTGACGTAGTGGAAGCAGGAACCATACACAATTTTAAGATGAGGTATGATAAAGCTCGTAGAGCAGGGAGAGAGAGGACCTAGTAGCGATCAGTGAAGAGGTTGGGCCAGGAGCTATGACTCGTCCTCTGCAGCCACAAATAGGTGAGTAGAAGTAGGTGAGTACACCCACACACACACTATCGACAAATATCTTTGACAACCAGTAACTAACATAACATTATCATCTCAAAGAAATTCATTTGTTTAATATTGAACCATCGTGTGTTATTTACTGATCACTGTGTCGTAAGCTTCCCCTTATATACTCAATATAGTTTACCGCTGTGTGGGGATGTTTACACTGTGTAAGAAATGTCTACGTCTGTGAGGTATGTTATGCGTGTGGGGTATGTCTACATCTGTGTGGGATGTTACTGATGGTGGAATGTTTACCGGTGTGAGTATGTCTACCTCTGTGTGGGTATGTTACTGCTGTGTGGGTATTTTTTTACCATGTAGTGAGTATGTCTACTCTGTGGTGGTAAGTTTACTGCTGTGTGGGTAAGATACCGCTGTTGTGAGTATGTCACCTCTGGTGGGTAAGGTTTACCCGCAGTGAGGTAGTTACCACTGTGTGAGTATGTCTACCTCAGTTGGTATGTTACCATGTGTGAGTATTCCACCTCTGTGGGTAATGTTCTGTTGTGGGTATGATTTAACCTGTGTGAGTAATTCTACCTCGTGTGGGTATGTTTACCGCTATGTGGGTATGTTTACCACTGTGTGAGTATGTCTACCTCTGTGTGGGTATGTTTACTGCTGTGTGGGTATGTTTACCGCTGTGTGAGTATGTCTACCTCTGTGTGGGTATGTTTACCGCTGTGTGGGTATGTTTACCACTGTGTGAGTATGTCTACCTCTGTGTGGGTATGTTTACCACTGTGTGAGTATGTCTACCTCTGTGTGGGTATGTTTACCGCTGTGTGAGTATGTCTACCTCTGTGTGGGTATGTTTACCGCTGTGTGGGTATGTCTACCTCTGTGTGGACATGTTTACCTCTGTGTGGGCATGTTTACCTGTGTGTGTGTATGTTTACCTCTGTGTGGGTATGTCTACTTCTGTGTGGGTATGTCTACCTCTGTGTGGGGATGTTTACCTCTGTGTGGGTATGTTTACCGCTGTGTGGGTATGTTTACCGCTGTGTGGGTATGTTTACCGCTGTGTGGGTATGTTACCGCTGTGTGGGTATGTTTACCGCTGTGTGAGTATGTCTACCCTGTGTGGTATGTTACCTTGTGTGGGTATGTTACCTGCTGTGTGGACATGTTTACCTCTGTGTGGGCATGTTTACCTCTGTGTGTGTGTGTGTATGTTTACCTCTGTGTGGGTATGTCTACTTCTGTGTGGGTATATCTACCTTTGTATGGGTATGTCTACCTCCCTGTGGGTATGTCTACCTCCCTGTGGGTATGTCTACCTCCCTGTGGGTATGTGTACCTCTGTGTGGGTATATTTACCGCTGTGTGGGTATGTTTACCTCTGTGTGGGTATGTTTACCTCTGTGTGGGTATGTTTACCTCTGTGTGGGTATGTTTACCTCTGTGTGGGTATGTCTACCTCTGTGTGGGTATGTCTACCTCTGTGTGGGTATGTCTACCTCTGTGTTTGCATGTTTACCCTTGCTGGGTATGTTTACCCCTGTGAGTATGTTACCTCTGTTGGGTATGTTTACGCTGTGGTGGGTATGTGTACCTCTGTGTGAGTATTTTACCTCTGTTTGGGTATGTTTACCTCTGTGTGGGTATGTTTACCTCTGTGTGGGCATGTTTACCTCTGTGTGGGTATGTTTACCTCTGTGTGGGGTATGTTTACCTCTGTGTGGGTATGTCTACCTCTGTGTGGGTATGTTACCTTTACCTGGGTATGTCTACCTCCCTGTGAGTATATGTACCTCTATGTGGGTATGTTTACCTCTGTGTGTGGGTATGTTTACCTCTGTGTGTGGTATGTTTACCTCTGTGTGTGGGTATGTTTACCTCTGTGTGTGGTATGTTTACCTCTGTGTGGGTATGTTACCTCTGTGTGGGTATGTTTACCTCTGTGTGGGCATGTTACCTCTGTGTGGGTATGTTACCTCTGTGTGGGTATGTTACCTCTGTGTGGGTATGTTTACCTCTGTGTTGGCATGTTATACCTCTGTGGGAGTTACCTCCTGTGGTATATTCCTCTATATGGGTATGTTTACCTCTGTGTGTGGGTATGTGTACCTCTGTGTGGGTATATTTACCTCTGTTTGGGTATGTTTACCTCTGTGTGGGTATGTTTACCTCTGTGTGGGCATGTTTACCTCTGTGTGGGTATGTATACCTCTGTGTGGGTATGTTATACCTCTGTGTGGGTATGTCTACCTCTGTGTGGGCATGTTTACCTCTACCTGGGTATGTCTACCTCCCTGTGAGTATGTGTACCTCTATGTGGGTATGTTTACCTCTGTGTGTGGGTATGTTTACCTCTGTGTGTGGGTATGTTTACCTCTGTGTGTGGGTATGTTTACCTCTGTGTGTGGGTATGTTTACCTCTGTGTGGGTATGTATGCCTCTGTGTGGGTATGTTTACCTCTGTGTGGGCATGTATACCTCTGTGTGGGTATGTTTACCTCTGTGTGGGTATGTATGCCTCTGTGTGGGTATGTTTACCTCTGTGTGGGTATGCATGCCTCTGTGTGGGTATGTCGTACAATTATCCAGGTTCTCACTTGCTTTAACAAGTTTAACAAGTGTGAGGAATAATGTAAATTTCTGTTGACAGGTATAAAAATTAATCAACTTTTAATAATTATGCAGGTGTTTAGACAGGTGTAACAAGTGTTTAGATAGACTTAACAATTATGTAAAACATCCAGAGGTGTTTGGAAGGAATGTAATTATTCAGATATTTAGATAAGTATAGCAAGAATTTAAACATGTACACAGGTTTACGGATGTTTTGACATTTGCATCAGAAGCGGGAACCTACCTGAACTGTTACTGGTATTTAGATAGGTATAACTTGTATTTCAACACGTATTCCAGGTGTTCATAAGTATATAATTGTTTAAACAGGTATATAACAGTTTAGACAGATGCACATGAATTCAGACAGAAATAATAGGTGTTAGGACCCACACAGATGCCTGGTGACGGTGCTGAGACAGGAAGGAGGTGTCATCAGTAAAATCCTGGTACTTCTTGATGGGTATAACCCTGAGATGGTCGCTCTTCTGCGTCTCTTACAGGTATGTCCTGGTTTTTGATCCAAAGAACTGAAGACACTCCCTGTCATTGGATCAAACTTTCTAATCCACAGACGCTGCATACCCCCTGCGATTTAACCATTTTCTTATTAATATAATAATTTTTTTAACACATTGCCGTTTCCACAAACGTATGGTCACCCAGAAAGAAAAAAATACACAAATAGAAAGAAAAAGATCCATCATCATTCAACACTTTCACCATCACTCATACATAATCACTGTCTTTGCAGAAGTGCTCAGATACGACAGTTTAGACGCCACTCCAAACTGCCAATATTTCAGATCCCTCATTTAAAGTGCAGGCATTGTACTTCCTATTTCCAGGACTCGAGTCCGGCTAACCGGTTTCCCTGAATCCCTTCACAAAATATTACCCTGCTCACACTCCAACAGCTCGTCAGGTCCCAAAAATCATTCGTCTTCATTCACTCTATCTAACACGCTCATGCATGCTTGCTAGAAGTCCAAGTCCCTCGCCCACAAAACGTCCTTTACCCCCTCCCTCCAGCCTTTTCGAGGACGACCCCTACCCCGCCTTCCTTCTCCTACAGATTTATACGCTCTCCATGTCATTCTACTTTGATCCATTCTCTCTAAATGACCAAATCACCTCAACAGCCCCTCTTCAGCCCTCTAGCTAATACTTTTAGTAACTCCACACCTCCTCTTAATTGCCACACTACGAATTCTCTGCATTAAATTTACACCACACATTGCTCTTAGACACGACATCTCCACCGTCTCCAGCCGCCTCCTCCTGCAGCATTTACAAACCATACTTCACACCCATAAAAGAGTGTTGGTACCACTAAGCTGTCGTACATTCCCTTCTTTGCCTTCATGGATAACGCTTTTTGTCTCCAAAGATACCTCAGTGCACCACTCACCTTTTTTTCTTCATCATTTCTATGGTTAACCTCTTCCTTCATAAACCCATCCACTGAGAAAATTTTAATGCCGACCAAAAAGATACATTTTCCAGTTGTTGTACAGAATCCAAAAATTGTATGTTTTTATTAACCACATTAGTAAATCTGAAAAAAATTGCACCGACTCAGCCTAAATGCCAAAACATTTCATTCTTTTCATGAGATGCAACGTGATCGACTGACGACATTCACAAAATGCAAATCCGGTTAATGTTTGAAAAAATATACTAAACTTTTTCGAAAATAAAATTTGGAAAATAGCAACTACGTTTTCCACTAACAATGCCAACCATCTTCGATGTAAGATACAGCAGAGCTGTTCATATTTCACCAAGGGTTAAAAATTTGTAACTGATCAGATAAGGCATTGTGAGGTTATAAATGCGCTTGCATATTTTAAATCCTACCTTTCTAATAGGTATCAATATGTCACCATTAAAGACACAGCCTCATCAATACGGCCAGATGATACTGGAGTTCCGCAGGGAAGTGTCCTTGGTCCCCTGCTCTTCCTCATTTACATCAATGATCTTCCAAACATATCCCAACACCTGAAACCCATTCTCTTTGCTGACGACACGACTTATGTCATCTCCCACCCTAATCTTGCCACCCTCAACACCCTTGTTAACGAGGAGCTGCTCAAAATATCGACTTTGATGACAGCCAATAAACTTACACTTAACACTGGCAAAACCTACTATATTATGTTTGGTAGCAGAGCAGGTGTTGCGCAACTTAACATTAAGATCGACAACACTCTAATTGCCAGGCATAATGAGGGCAAATTCCTTGGCCTATACCTCGACAACAACCTAAATTTCAGCACCCATATCCAACACATAACAAAAAAAGTATCCAAAACGGTGGGGATCCTCTCCAAGATACGATACTACGTGCCGCAAACTGCCCTTCTCACACTATACCATTCACTTATATATCCATACTTCACCTATGCTATCTGTGCTTGGGGTTCAACTGCAGCAACACACCTAAAGCCAATAATAACCCAACAAAAAGCTGCAGTAAGAATAATCACTAAATCCCATCCCTGGCAACACCCCCCACCCCAATCTTCATAGATCTAAACTTACTCCCTGTTCAGAACATCCACACTTACTACTGCGCAATCTATATCTACAGGACCTTAAATTCCAATATTAACCTTGACCTAAAACGCTTTCTTGATAGTTGTGACAGGATCCACAGGCATAACACCAGACACAAACATCTCTATGACATTCCCCGTGTTCGACTAAACCTTTACAAAAATTCAATGTATTTCAAAGGACCTAAAATCTGGAGCACCCTACCTGAAAATTCTAGAACTGCAGACACATTCATCACTTTCAAAACTACAATTAGAAAACATCTTATCTCCCTGATACACCCCGACAACTAACTACATGATAACCACTTGGTGGTTCACAATTACACTCACTCACCCACTGACTATAAACCCAGAAATACTAATCTTAATCTTAAAATAATAAATCCTAACTAGTCATAAGTTTGCCTATGATACTCCAATATAGACACCTTGTATTGTGCCAAAACAAAAGCATTCACATTGCTAAACTCACAAATTATGATGTAGTCACTTAGCCTTAATACCATAATCTGTAAGGATTTAATGTTAAGAATTAATTTAAGTCTGCCCGAAATGCCTAGCCATGCTAGGTGTCCTAGTGGCCCCCTCTGTAATTAGTATTTTATAACATGTAAACCACACAATACCCAAAACATGTAAACACCACATTGTAACCTTTATAGAGAATAAACTTGAATTGAATTGAATTGAATTGAATTAAGTGGGTAACAAGAACACTAACAACATGGCCGACTCTGACATAATATAACACAAATATAGTATATAAGGGCTCACTAATCTCATGAAATTAGAAAACTCCTTATGACACGAGTTTTCATTATTTCTCCTTATATCATTTATATTTACTTCAAAAATATCTAAAATTTTGCTAGAAGAATCGTTCATTTTGCCATTGAAGAACTTTCACTTTAACTTGATTTTGTTTCACAAAAAAAAGAGAAAATTGCCTACTATACCTCCCAAATTCCATTAAAGAATAATTCTCGTTAAGATTCACTTGTGTTTAGTGTTTGATTCCGGTCAGACGAGATATTCCCTTGCTATTACACGGACGTCAATATATTTAATAATAGCAAATTAGAATTGAAACAGCTGAAGTTGATTTCCAAGCCCAGCCAGACTGACAGTTTCAAATCAGTCAAAAGAAACATTCTCCAGTTATTGATCTGAATCCAACAATTATTTTTTTTATCAACCCTGATTCTTTATGCAATCACTCTAATCTTCTAGTCTGTAATCCCTTAATTCTTTGTGTATTCCATAATCTTCTCTGCAGTCTCCTAATCCTCTCTCCGCTTCCTTAATCATCTTTGCACTCTTCTAATCCTATCTACACATCCTTAATTCATTTTTCACTCCCTTGAGCCTCTCTGCATTTGTTCTCTTCTAATCCTTTCAGAAACCCTAATTGTGTATGCATATTCCCTTATTATGGGAAGCTCATGCCTCATCTGGTACGAGCTCTTCTGAAATATCCTGATGCACTCCGGGGGAGAGTACGAGTTGTTTAACACAGGTCTACTTCCCTAATCCTCCTTAGAGTCCTCATAATCCTTTCTGAACTAGTCCAAGTCTCTCTCCAGCTTCCCAGTTCTTTCTGCCATCTCTTAATCATTGTTGTGTGTCCCTAATCCTGAATGAAATTACTCTAATCCTCTCTGTAATTTTTCAATCCTCGTCCCTTACGCACTACCGCGGGTGTGCACCAACAAGCAGGTGAACCACAGAGTGCACCACATGGGATCAGAGAGCTTCGTCACTAGTGGGGCTCGCATCTCCCTGCACTACCGCTATGCTCTGCATGCTGTCTTCAGCACCTTCCCCGCAGCCTCCAAGGCCATCATTCTGGAGGAGGACATCCTGGCAGCACCAGACTTCTTCAGGTAACTGCTGCCTTATTATGTATAAAAACGAAGCTCTAGACTCTTGTGGGTAGGTCATTCAGGCCTCCAGGTATCTGGAGCAACTGAGTCTTCCAGGCAACTTAAGCCATGCCGAGTTCCAGGTGACTGAAAGATGTGTTCCAGGTGACTGTAAGATGTATTAAAGGTGACTGTAACATTACGTGTTCCAGGTGACAAACATGACGAGTTCTAGGTGACTGTAACATAATGAGTTTCAGGTGACTGTAAGATGAGTTAAAGGTGACAGTAGCATGACGCATTCCAGATGACTGTGACATAACATGTTCCAGGTGAATGTAACATGGCGTGTTCCAGGTGACTGTGACATAATGTGTTCCAGGGGACTGTAAGATGAGGTGTTAAAGGTGACTGTAACATTACGTGTTCCAGGTGACGAGGTAAACCGAACGTTCAGAACTTCCAGGTTCATGTTATACATGTTTCTACTCTTACGGATGTCAACGGATACTGTTACCAGATGTCTTCAGGTGCTGGCAGCTCTAAATGTTTATATGTATGCCTAAGCAGTTGTAGTTCCACATATCTATAATTATTGGTGGTCCTATTTACACATAATATAGGAACATAACAACAGTGGAGCAGTTTCAGAAAGCCAAATAGCCCATGTTTGTAAGGCCTACTTTCCATTCACTGGAATGACCTAAACAAGGATGCCGTTCATTCTAATGTTTTGTAATCCTTAGTGTTTTTTTATGAATAGGTTGCTGTATGTCAGATGATTGGCTGTTGGAGACCAACCCCAGCATTTTCTACATATGTGTGGATCAGTCAACCAATAAAAAAGGTGTAAGCTTGATCCTCCGTCTGTTATACGTCATTTAATCATTAAATAGTTCGTGTTTCCCACAGCTACTTCAACCAGACATCCTGGCTCTTGGACACAGATCCCAGCATCTTCTGCATCAGTGCTTGGAACGACCTGGGCTCCCTACATATAGCCAGACACATATCCAGGCTCTATAGAGTGGAGACCCACGCTGGCTACGGCTGGATGCTCACTAGGAAACTCTTCAATGAGATCTATCCACTCTGGCAGCATCCCAATAAGGTACATGGTAACTATTATTGTATTCCTCGGGAAGCTGTAAACTCGTGGTGAATGACTTGTATTATTATTATTATTATTATCATCATCATCATATAATCATCATCATAATCATTATCATTTATAACTTGAACAAATTCAAGCAAACATCCTCACTTCCTCTCCTGGTTACCATCAGCTTAATATTGTCATCTTCCTTTAAACACAGGAAGGTGAATATATTATTACTCCAACTTTCAGTGACTTTAAGAACACCAGTATGATTCTAATACAGGAAATCATTGTCATCAGTGATGTAAAGTCATTTCAATTTTTATTACTACTACTAAAAATAATAATAATAATAATAATAATAATAATAATAATAATAATAATAATAATAATGATAATAATAAAGAACACGAAAAGAAGAGTGCAGAGTGCGTCATAAGTTTGTACTGCAGTGAATATCTGATGCCGGTCGGAAACATTCACGACTTATTGCCTCAAAACTAATGTCACAATTTCTTCATTAAAAATGGTTGTCAGCTAACATGGAAAATCTGAGGCAGATCATAAGAGGTGAACTCAACATATAAGCTAAAATCTCTCCTTGATCCTGCAAGAGTCCTTTAATTTAAGTTCGATACTTTCCATTTCCCTGGTCAGCGCTTCCTTCCATGTATCAGATAATCTAGCATTCTTGAGGAGCTCAGTGATTCTTCATCATCTTCAGTAGAGGGAGCATCTTTCTCTCTCGAGTTTACTTCTTCTCTTCTTGTTTCTTAGGGGAATATGCCTTGATTTATGTCGGGTGTGAGCGCTGTTGGGCAATTATTCACCTATTTCTTGTTGGCCAACCATTAATAATGAATGGATTGAAGCGATTTCCACAACAAACTAAAAGAATGATTGTTTTATAAGATTATAGATTAATTTTTGATGTATCACAAATATTTTCAGATTTGTGTGGGGATATAAGGCCGATATTTTCCTAAATGTCAAAAAACTTATAAACTATATTTTACTGAGAATGAAGATAATGTTTATTATAGTATTTAAATCCATAGTATAATGGAGTTAGCAACTCCATTATACTTTCCCAGTGCCACTTCTTGCTCAAGTGCTGACAAATGTCATTTTTAGCAGATTTTTTTTTTTTTTTTTTCATTTACTTTTTGGCCGATCTTACTGAAACTCCGTCAAAGCATGATGGATATGTGGGGAATAAATCACTTGCATGTACCTCAACATTGCATTCATGCAAGCAATTTTATTGAAAGAACAATAATACATTATTTAAATTTGTATTACCTCTGAGGTAGTGGAAAATATTTTGAAACACTGTGGCCACAAGGAGAGTCTCCCTTCGACAACCACTACTGTCCACATCCAACCTGGACCAGAATTATTTAAGTATATATGTAAACAACACCAGTAATTGATGCTATTAGTAGTTATAGTTGACTATAAATTAACTGGACTGATTAGAAAATGGGGAGGGGTGGGAGGGTATACACATACATCAGGGAAAATATACTTGTATATAATATCAACACTTACCAGATTTGTCTGGTGGTAAACTGTGGTAGTTGAAACACCCACAATGCTTATTTCATTATAACAAAGCTAAGCTGGCCAGCTTACTTGAAATAATAAGAAGGTTTACTTAGCTGTGGGTGGTTGATGCTCCTTATTTTCTCCATTCATCATCCAATCTGGAAGTCCTGCCAAGTTAATGTAGCTGTAACTTCAGCAGGACACTATTTCCGATTTGCTCTTATTTCGTTTAGCAGGTTATGTCCTGTTAAAACCTCCATGAACATCGCAAATGGGACACCAGGTTTAACGGTGCTGAGACTGGAATTTCAATATGGTGAACTCTTTATTTAACCTAATATCCCTTTGGTTGAGTGTGTTTTCCACTATTTTCTTCACAATTTGCAGTGTATTGCAGTCCCGTATTATTTTCTGTTCATCGGAGGTCCTTCACTATTTCCCATTCTCACCACCCTATTATTATGGTTTTGCTAAATTACTGTCCCATATTATTCACCGTGAACAATTACAACACTTCCTATTATGAAGTGAGGCCTATATTAATCCTATAGGCCACTGTGGACACCAATTTCCTGGTCCCATTTTGACCATCCTTTCCACTCCATTCAAAACACTCCCACGTCCCCTTCACTCGCCTCGCGAAAGGGCAATGAGCCTCTCCCTAGGTTGGTTCTCTTTTTCACTCCCAATTAAATTTTAAACCAACAGCAATAGACTAATTATGCACATTTACATTAAAAAAATTATACAATATAAATCTGGGAAAATTACATCAAAATTTTCCACACTGCAGCCGTGCAGAGTTCATTGATAAACGACTTATATTGCTCCTTCCTCTATAAAGTTATTCATTAACTGATCATTAATTATATCATTATAGGCAGTCAATAATTCTGGTGTCTTACTTAATTCGTGGAGTTGAGCCTTTACTTGTCCATAAGCCATCCAGTAATTTATAGGCAATTCTGGATGATTCAGTTTCCACGGGAGTCGCACCCACTATTGTCCAGATTCATATTTAACATTCTTCAGGTATTGTTCCTGAGTAAAGGAATAATCTGGACTTTCTTCATTTACATTGATACCGATACTGTCCAGTTCCCACAATTTATACACTGGCTCAACAGCATCCTCTATAGAAGAATATTTATACTGGTGCGATATTTCATGAGTAAAACACACCGTGACTGTATTTATGGCTTCTAGTCATTCACTGTCATTATTACGAGGAAGCCTACCATAAATTACATGACCTCCCCTAGTTTTGAGCAGAGTGACACCACATTTCTCTACCATACCTTTCACAAAGGAGGCATAATAGTCACTACCTATCATAATATTTATTGGCCCCACAGAGTCGTTATTTGCACCAGAAGGCGCCAATTTTACATTATTTTGTGAGAGCCTTTCAGTAGCTTCATTAAGCCTATGGTTGAGATTTTCTCTGGTAGCCTATCCACAATTACTGCATTAATACGGGTTTTCTCCTTGCCCAGGCTGACATTTGTATAAACAGTGTCGTACGACTGGGCCCTTTTATCTGAGAGAAAACTAGATTATTTTAAAGTTGTAGGATCCCCCATTAGTACTTTCATCCCATTAAGGCAATTAAGTTTTATGAAAGTACGTTGTGTTTCCTGGTCTAGTAGTGCAGTAACAATTTTGAATTTATAAGAACATAAGAAAGAAGGAACACTGCAACAGGCCTACTGACCCATGCGGAGCAGGTCCGTGTCCTCCCCCCCCCCCCCCGATAAGCACAATGACCCACCCAGTCTGGTCACCTCCACTCAAGGAAGGAGCACAGCACCAGACCCAGCAGCACAAGCTAGTCAGGTCCAACTCACACCCACCCACACCCACTCATGTATTTATCTAACCTATTTTTAAAACTACACGACGTTTTAGCCTCAATAACTACTCGGGAGTTTGTTCCACTCATCCACAACTCTATTACCAAACCAGTGCTTTCCTATATCCTTCCTGTTTTGGCTGGAAATTTTCAGCACGCTATTTACATCCCCTTTATTTTTTCCTGTTTTCCATTTATACACCTCGATCATATCCCACTAATTCTACACATTTCTAGAGAGTGCAGATTCAGGGCCCTCAGTCTATCCTCATAGGGAAGATTTCTGATACATGGGATCATCTTTGCCATCCTCCTCTGTACGTTTTCCAGAGCATCTATATCCATTCTGTAATACGGTGACCAGAACTGAGCAGAATAGTCTAAATGAGGCCTAACCAAGGATATGCAGAGTTGAAGAACAACCTGAGGACTTTTATTATTTATACTTCTAGATATGAAGCCAAGAATTCTGTTAGCTTTATTGCGAACACTAATGCACTGTTGTCTTGGTTTTAGATTACTACTAACCAGAACTCCTAAGTCCTTTTCGCAATCAGTAGTATTAAGATCTACATTATTTAGTTTATATATCGCATGGTTATTTTCTAGTCCAACATTTAGAACTTTGCATTTGTCTAAATTAAACTGCATCTGCCACTTCTCCGACCATTGCATCAGTCTATTCAAATCATCTTGGAGTGCTCTAGTGTCCTCATTAGAATGAACTGGATACCCTATTTTGGTGTCATCAGCAAATTTGCTTATGTCGCTATTTATTTCCTCATCTATGTCGTTTATGTAAACTGTGAACAACAACGGGCCCAACACTGACCCCTGAGGAACACCGCTTGTGACGTGCTCCCATTCTGATTTCTCCCCATTTATGCAAACTCTCTGCTGCCTATTTGTCAGCCATGCCTCTACCCAGGAAAAAAAAATTTCCTCCTATTCCGTGTGCCTTATGTTTACTCAATAGCCTCTGATGTGGAACTCTGTCGAAAGCCTTACTGAAGTCCATATACACAATATCATATTCATTACCATGATCTATCTCCTCAAACACCTTAGTGAGAAATGTAAGTAAATTCGTAAGACAGGAATGCCCCTTTGTAAAACCGTGTTGAGATTCATTAATCAATCTGTGCCTATCAAGATGGCTACGAATTGCTTCGGCAATTGTTGATTCCATATCTATAGTTCGAAGCCAAGGACCTGTCACCTGCCTTGTAAATAGGTATTACATTTGCTATTTTCCACTTATCAGGCACTATGCCAGTTTGTAGTGATATGTTAAAAAGATTAGCCAAAGGTATGCTAAGTTCCTCTTTACATTCCTTTAACACCCTTGCAAACAGTTCATCAGGGCCTGGGGATTTATTAGGTTTTAGTTTCTCTATTTGTCTGAGGACCACGTCACTAGTTACCGCAATCGTGCATAGTTTATTATCGTCCTGTTCTACATAATCTATTATTTCAGGAATTTCGCTAGTATTTTCCTGGGTGAAAACTGAGAGGAAGTAGGTATTGAGAATTTCGCACATATCCTTATCACTGTCAGTGATCTGACCAGAGTTACTCTTAAGGGGGCCAATCTTGTCCCTAATCTTACTTCTGTATACCTGAAAGGACTCTTTTGGGTTAGTCTTTGAATCCCTTGCGACCT